TACATTTCTCGGATATTTCTGCACGTGAATTTTTTGTCCTAAACAAACTGACTTACTTACTTACTTGCCTGCTTACTTGTCATCTGACTGATATTCACAACCAACTGTTGCCCTATTTTTTTTTCTTTGATTATAGGTAGAAAAAACCCATCGAAAACTGTTTAAATATCAATGTGTAACATTAGTCTAGTCAAACAAATCATGATGCTTAATTTATTATTCTTTATATAAAAATATAAAACAAATACCTGGTTAGGGTATATACTACTACTACTAGTATCATAAATGCTGTTTATAAGTAGTATAAAAATAGACGAACAAAGTGTACTTTGGTTTTATACATAGATAGATAGATAGATAGTAAATTCAATGTTCAATAATGAATAAAATCACTTAATGAATATAATTCAATCACCACCTACTAATAAGTAGTATATGATGCCTAATTTTTTTTATTGTAGCGTTTATTGATTTGTGCTTACCTTGATTAGGGTGAAATGTGAAAGTGATTCATTTTTTGAAACCATGAATCGATCAATGTTAGACCACTACCATTAGAAGAAACCTGGAAGCACTGGACGGCCGTTTCGTCCTGGCATGGGACTAACTCATCAGCAGTGCGCATCCACGACTGCTGCACCCTGCAGGATTCGAACCCAGGACTTTTGGTATAGTGTGCGAACGCCCTAACCGTTAGGCCAGTGAGCCGGTATCTAACGGTGTTAATGTCTAACTTGATCAAATTCACGGAGTTGCGCAACCTCATACACAGTCTTCGGTAGACATTGCCTACACCCGAACAGGTTGAACTTCACCGGTCACGTCTTCCTGGGTTCGAATCCTGCGGGGTGCAGGAGTCGTGGATCCGCACTGCTGTGTAACTCAACAATCTTCACAACCCCGTATTGCAAAGTGATTAATGTTCATTCAATCAGAATTTTAAAAAAGTTTAGGAGAGTGGATTGAAAAAAAAAGTTGAATAGATGACCGCTGACAAGCACTGGACAGCCCCATTTCATCCTGGTAGTAATGCGCATCTACGACTCCAGGTGTGGTGTGAGCTACTTATAAGTAGTATATGACTCGAGTGTCAACGTAATGTCTGGCATTAGAAGATGGGGGAAGATCAAGAAAGGTAGAGTTAGAACACAGTGGAATTTGTAGGAAACGCATGAACAGTGACAATGGATTGATGTTTTGCAACAGGAACAGTCCAGTTCGATATGATGATGAACTGATATTTTGCAAATGAACGATTTACGATATGGTTTTCCGATTTTACTGAGTAACTCTGTAATTTTCGTTTAAAATACAATTCGGTTGTCCACCTGTGTTCTCGTTCACTACATTTGGTGTAGCTGCCTGCTCGAAGAAAGGGGCTCCCGTGGCCGAAGGAGTTGGAGGATGGAGATTTGCGGAGCTTCCTGGAGGAGTTTGAGGCCACGGTGGAGCTGGTGGGGGCCCGGGGCGGAGTTGGCGGTTCTGGAGACGCTCCGGGGAGGTGAGGCAAAGGCGGTGTACGACAGCCTGGATGGTGCCGCCAGAAAGACGGAGTGGGTGTAACTACCAAACATAAATAGGTGAGGTCGTGCTCAACACCTAGATTGACCCAGAGTAAGATATCAACACTGAAGAATCCCAGCTGAGTACTGTACATATTAAGCGTTCGTGCTCTGGACCTGAAATCCTAGGTTCGAATCCTATGAGTAGCCAAGAATCGTGAATGCCCACTGCTACTAGCAAGTCTTGCATTCAACCAAAATAGCCATGCTGCGAGCGCTGCCAGATTTCTTCTTTAACTCTAAATATGATAAAAAAATATTCACTTTGAAGTTTTCCCGTTTAATTTTTTTTCTTCCTCTAGAAGACGAATTATGTCGTCATTGCAAAAAAAAATTCTCATCTTTTCGTTTATACTAACAATCCTAGACACACACAAATAGACGCATACAGACACAGTATATATATGTATAAATGTAAAAATCTCCCTCTGCTATTTTTTATTTAATCTACTGAAAAATGCTATAAGTATGTCAGTAGACATATTTGCATATAGATATACTTTTTTTCTCTTATTAAGTAGTCAGTTAAAATACAACAACATTTTTATCATTCACTGATGGTAAGAGAGGAAGGAATTTGCAAAACATTCTATGGCTATCACTTAATAATATGCATGCGCCTTTTCCCAGTTGTATTCATTGATAATACACAAGTGCGTGTGTACGTAAGTACGTCCATTAATCTTCAATCTGATTTGTGTATGTGAGTGAGTGCGTGTGTGTGTGCAAGTGTGTACGTGTATGTGTATGTGTGTGTGTGTATATAGATTTCCACTAAATGATTGGGAGAAAATGGTTTTTTTTAATGAATTTCTAAATTAATCGGCAGGGAGTGAGATAAGGAAATCAACGAATAAAAATTATTCTACTCTTTCAAATCAAATCAAATTCAAATCACATAAATGATATCCAACCATAATGATGCTGCTGATGGTAGACTACGCCTCCCTACCTTACTTACCTCGTTTAATTTTATCCAATCTAAATTAAATTAAACTAGAAGAGATTGTTGTTGTAACTGACAAGTAAAAAAAAACTAAACTAAACTAAACTGAAATGAAGAAGAACAATGATTAAAAAATATTTTCAAAACGATTAATGCAATAAAAACCCAAGTAGTATGGAAATTGATGAAATAGGAGGAGAAAATTAAAACCGATTACAACTGGAAGGGGTATTTTTTTGTGGGTTGTATATATGTCTATCATAGATCTCTCTCTCTACATATATATAGTGTGTATATGGGATAAATAGTTTTCAACATTAATTAATTAATTAAAACAACGCACAAACGCATTCATTAAATTAGTTCCCAGTTCGTTTCCTTCAATTTTACTTTTTGGAAGTCAAGAATCCACAGACACACACACACACACCAGCACACATTATATAACATCATATTCATATTCAATATTAATTAACTTGTTCAATTGTCAAGTGTTTCTTGAATTATTGAACGTTGAACAAGTGACGGGATCTATATATGTTTATTTCTTATGTTATACACTTTTGATTAAACCGCTATTATTATTATTATTATTATTATTATTATTATTATTATTATTATCAGCATTCAAAATTCAATTGTGATCATTATTCAATAATCAATTTTTCCTTCAACATCATCATCATCATCATCATCAGAAATACGTAAGTTATTCTACTTATTTTTTTGGAAATTATTCTTATAAATAATTTAAAAGTTTTTACACATTTGAAATCATCAATCAATCATTGTTACTAGACCACCATTAGAAGAAACCTGGAAGCAATGGACGATGGCCGTTTCGTCTTGGTATGGCAGTAACTACTACAAAAGACAAATGGGTGAGGTCGCGCAAAATCCCTAGATCAATCAGAGTTTTAGACATTAACACCGTTGGATGCCGCCAATCTAGTGGTCCGATGGTAAGGCGTTCGCCTACACTACCAAAGGTCGCGGGTTCGAATCCTGCGAGGAGCAGGAGTCGTGGATGCGCACTGCCACTGATGAGTCAGTCGCATACCAGGACGAAGCGGACGTCTTTCAGTGCTTCCAGGTTTCTTCTAATGGTGGTCTAACAATGATTGATTTATGATTTCAAATGTGTAGAAAAAACACAAATCTCCAAAACTGTGCCCCAAAAAATCTAAAAGTTAATTTAATTTATAGTTTGAAAATGTTGATTAGGTAGGTGGCTTACCCTTTTTTTACACGTTGATTATCAATCAGTTTAGTGTTAATGAGTTTATGTTAGGATAACATAGAGAGAGAGAGAGGTGTGAGAGAACAAACAATATTACTTTCAATTAGATAGTTATCAAAATTTTATTCTGTAGACTACCTGGTTGGGGGGTCCGTGAGACGAAAGTCATCAATGGTTAGAGACCTTGAACGACATGGCTCAAAATCGTTTGCGATGGCACAAGTGCATCCATTCATTGTGTTCTCTCAAATCCTAATCTTCTGGATTAGTCAGCACCTCTACCTTTGTCTTTCTAATCTTATCTCACTTAATTATACTTCTTGAATAATATCTTCGAACCCCCTAGTCTTCTTCATTACCATTAATACCTCTATTATCTTTATCACTATGGGATTTGAATTGACATTTGCGTCTCTGTGCTAATCTGGTATGGCAACATGAACTTATGTACATATATACGTTGCAAATGACTGACTGAATATGTATATAAATATTTATTATGAAAGTTACACATTTTTGAAATCATGAATCGATTAATGTTAGACCACCACCATTAGAAAGAAACCTGTAAAGCACTGAAAGACGGCTGTTTCGTCTTGGTATGGAACTCATCAGTGCCACTGAGTATCTGTCACTCCTGCATCTCGCGTGAACGCTTAACCTCTCGATCACTAAGCCAGTATCTAACGGTGTTAATGTCTCTAACTTCAATCAATTCATGGATTTGAGGAATCTCATACACCACTGTCTTCGGTAGGTAGTTACTGTCTACACCCAACACAGGGTTGAACTTCGTTGGTCACGTCTTCCCACTAGAACTCGGAGAAGATTCCTAACGAAGCTAGTCACTAGTAAGCACAGGTAATTTGCATTATGGGGTTGTGAAGATTGTTTCTAATGGTGATGGTCTGACATTGATCGATTCATGGTTTCAAAAAATGTGTAACTTAACAATCTTCACAACCCCTTAATGCAAAGAACTTTTCATCAGTTCATGGACTATAATAAACTTTGTCACGTTCATATTCTAAACATTGATCAATTCATAATTTTAATAAAACAATAAAAATAATTATTTATTTACAATTTTAATTAATTAATTATTTTAATTAATTGCTTTTATTTTCATTGCGATTTTTCTATTTTATTCAATATTCAATTCTAGTATTCAATTGGATTATTTAAAAGTCGAAATTGAACGGAAAAACAAAAACAAAACCGAACCGAATTAATTCCTAATTGTTCCACACCGATGTGTGATCTACTGTCACAACCACGACAACAACAACAAAGAACTGGACAAAAATTATCAAATCGTCAATTAAACAAAAATCAACTTCATTTAACAACAACAACAACAACTAGTGAAATGTCATCAAATTTATGTACTAATTCAAATCGTTTCAATAATTCAATGATCAATACTACCAATAATCGTTCTTCAAAATCTTTGAATCAACAAACTACACAAAAATCCGATATAAATTCATTCATAGTTATTGATAAAGATACTACTACTGATAATGTTGATAGTAGTAGTACTGATAGTATAAATCAGATATCATGGTCACCTCCTAATGAAAATTCTAATTCAAATCATAATAATACTAATAATCATAGCCGAAGAAATTCTTCTTCCAAAGATCACATTCATGTATCTTCTTCTATAAATGGGGATTTACAACAACCACAACAACAAGACATATGTTCAACAACCAATGAAACATTGAACACCGATATGAATGATCAATGTTCAATAATAACAATTGAACAATCAATGAAAACATCCATCCATTTTGATTGTATAGATAATAGTAATCAGTCAAATTCAATAGGTTCATCAAAATCACCACGATTATCTACACCATCCCCAGCACCTTCCCCATCATCGTCCTCATCATCGTCAACAGCATCAGCTTCCATTTCAAATCATAGTGTTGTTGTTTCATTGAGAAATAATGAAAATGCCCAATGGAATACAACTACTTCTACTAATACTACTAACAATAATGATAATAGTAGTAGTAGTAATGTCAATAACGATGATGATGATGATGTCATAAATTCTTGTACTGTGAAATCTCAAACAGATATAATTGATAAATTGAATTCAGTGAGTCGAATAAGTTGCTTTACTTTTTATATACACATAATTATTAATTTTTATTAAAAAGGAAAAGATATGAGTTGTTACCTCTATCATATTACCCCCCCCCCAAAAAAAAGACTACTTTTCATCATGATACATGAAAGTCAGTCAGTCAATCAGTCAGTTAGTCAGCTACAAAGTAGAGCGACGTCATACATGTATGTATATCAATTGAAGTTGTCATAGCATATTAGTACGTAGATGTATTTTTAATTCGAAGGTAGTAGCAGTAGCAGTAGTGTGGTGCGAGCTACTTATAAGTAGTATATGACGTGAGTGTCAATATAATGTCTGGCAGCACAAGATGGGGGAAGATCAAGAAGAAAGGAAGAGTGGGAACACAATGGAATTTGTATGAAAAACGCATGAATAGTGAGTGACAATGGATTGATGTTTTGCAACAGGAACAACAGTCCAGTTCGATATGATGAACTGATATTTTGCGAATGAACGATTTACGATATGGTTTTCCGATTTTACTGAGTAACTGTGTAATATTCGTTAAATACAACTCGGTTGCCCCCACCTGTATTCTTGTTTACTACAGCAGTAGTAGTAGTAGTAGTAGTAGTAGTAGTAGTAGTAGTAGTAGTAGTAGTAGTAGTAGTAGTAGTCGGGGTAGTAGTAGAAGTGGTGATCACAAAGATTATTGATCGAAGATATTACTCAAGAAGTATAATCCACTAAGGTAAATTTAAAAAGAGTATAGGTGATGAGCAATTCGGAAGATCAGAATTTAGAAGAATACAATGATTGGATGTACCTGCACCATCGATTACTATCATCTCACAGACCTTTACCAGATAGTCTACATAAACCAACATGATTCAGTCCATTTGTCTGTCAGTGACTTCATAGATTTGTGCAACGTTTTGATTTGACCGCCTCTAGTTTTCTTCAAACCTACTCCTACACCATAAAACATAGCTTGCTGAGGCAGTCAGTAGTTGATGCGTGAAAATCATGATTTTCATTCTATCTTCATGATGATATCATGTTTGAATCTGGATGAAAGAATTCGAGCATTGACTCAAATACTTGTTTTTCAAGCGTTCTGGTTGTTACTTTATGAATGTTTTTCTTTCTCGAGTTAAAAACAAACCTTTTCTCAGAAATGAAATAGTTGAGTTGCGTTGAAACAATCAACCTATTATCAGTCAGTGGTCAATCATCATTTTAGAAAAACCTAAAAGATTTAAATGGCGGTTTCATCAGCCATGTACATCCACAACCTTACAAGGAAGAATCGATCCCGAAACTTCCAGGCTTATTTAACTAACAGTGTTTATGTCCTACGTCACCTAATCCACTGAAAATCCTGGATTTAATTCTCATGTATGAGATTTTGGATGCGTACTGTTGAGGAGTCCTATGCCATAACAAAATGTCTGTTTAGTTCTTCCACGTATCCAATAGTAGTGGTCTAACATTGATCGATTGAAAATTTCGAAAATACGAAATAATAATAATAATTATCACTAACATCATCATCGGAAATCAATAATTCCCGGTGAAAATTTATCGATCAGTTTCAATCAAACTGATAGGAAAATCAATAAATCGTAACTAATATATAACAATAAATGTTCATTGTCATTCAATTAGAATTTTCTTTAAAATAAACTAATCTGAAACTTGTGAAATAGTTCAAGAGAGTAAAAAATGATCATCATTAAAGATACATTTTATTTTGGTAATATAAGGTCTCTTAATATCAGTCAATTCGTATCTCTTTGAAGATAGTTTATTTGTCATACAAGGGTAGATCATTTGAAATCATCAATCAATCATTGTTAGACCATCATTAGAAGAAACCTGGAAGCACTGGACGATGGCCGTTTCATCCTGGTGTGTATGGGACTCATCAGTGGCAGTGCGCATCCACGACTGCTTCACCTTCGCAGGATTCGAACCCGGGACTTTCGGTATTGTGAGCGAACGCCTAATCATTGGACCACTGGGTTGGCACCCAACGGTGTTAATGTCTAACTCTGATTGATCCAGGGATTTTGCGCGACCTCACCCATATGTCTTCGGTGGGTAATTACTGCCTACACCCAACACAGAGTTGAACTCCATATCAACTGTGCTCATCCATGACCCTCGAATTTTTAACCTCTAAACTACTAGGCCGGCAAAAGGTACACTCTTATAAGTTTGTCATTTTGCATCGAATTGTTTCTAGGAAAAACAAATGTTATGATATATTTGTACTTTACATTTCAAACAATCTGATCATACACATGTACACCTGTGAAGATATTTTTCTAAGAAATTTAATAAAGGTCATTTATACATTGCAAATCGTCAATCAATCAATCAATCATTGAGTGTTAGATCAAACATTAGAAGAAACCTAGAAGAAGAATTGAATGTCTGTTTCGTCCATTTTGTATGGAACTCATCAGTAGTGCGCAACCACAACTCCTGCTATTCACTGGATTTCATTCAATCTAAAAAGCCTTAAATTTTGCGTGCAACTGCTTAACGTTTTAGACCACTGAACCGAAATCCAACAGTGTTAATGTCTAACTGTAAATTCAATGAAAGGTTTGAATTTACAAAAAAAAAGCCAAAACTTTTTTATGATTCTAAGAATTTATCCTTGACAATTAATTCCCTGTCTGAAATGATATCAATTTTCAAGCTTTAAGTATCGATGAACCTGGTTTTGTATTTCTCATGTTTATTAGATAATTTAACATTCAGTAACTTTTAAAGCATACTTAAATGCATTGTTTGATTACTCCTCTCTCATAGTAGTAGACGTAGTAAAAGTATTAGAAGTAATCGAAGGGATTAGGGTTCGAAGATATGTGATTCAAGAAGTATAATTCAATGAGATAAATTTAGAATGAGAAAGATAGAGGTGATGAGTAGTTTGTTCATAAGGTTAGAATTTCAGAGAACACAAAGAGTAAATGCACCTGCGTGCGACATTGCAAACAGTTTTTTGAGCCATGTCATTCAGGGTCTCTAACCATTTGGTGACTTTCGTCTCATGGACCCCAACCAAGTAGTCGACACCTACCAACATGACTCAGTCCACTTGTCAGTGACTTCATGTTTTTTGGTCTGGCCGCCTATATTTACTCAACCAAACATGTAAACATGATAAACGCAATGGCTTATTACGTAATGGCTCGTGTAATGTCTAGGCCTCTATGAACAATGATTATAGACTTATTCCCCCGTTTCAATCATAACTAGTTTTTGTTGTTTGAAGTGTATGCAGTATGTGTTATCTCGATGGTTACTTTTAGTTTGTCTTAAAATCGTATCAGTTCTTGAGATGGTGGAGAAAACTTGTAGCTCAGGTGGATGATTGTGGTGGTGGTGTTTTGTTCTCTGAGCTGGTTGTTTTGGTTGAGTTTCTTCACTTATTCCTGCTGTTTTTCAAGTGATGACTCTAATGCCGCGAAGAATTCCAGTTTTGAAGCATCCTTCGTGTTACAGTTTAATCATTTTTGGAGCAGTTGTTCTTCTGTTGTCGTTAGATGTTGCTTCGATAGGTTGACCACACAACTGTTTGCGTTTTCTTCTGTGGTTGGCTTTGAAATCTTGATTAGTTTTTCCATTGAGGATGCTTCTTCTTTGTTCTCTGTGTCGTCTGCTTGGCAGTTCAATCGACGTTGTCAACGTTGTTACGTGTTCTGATGTAAGTATTCCTTCTAGTTTTCTTTTTTGTTCATCCATGTTGTGTTGGTATTTGTGGATCCTGTAGTGTGCATCGGTGATCATTAATTGTACCATATGTCTCCCACTTTGCTCCGCTATTCGCCATCCTATTGGGCAGTTGATTGGTGGTCTATATCTGACACTTTTTGGCAGAACATGCTGACGAAGGCATTCGTGGAGAAAAAACAGTTTTTCTTGAATGGAAGCCTGCCTTTTGGCAAAATTCTCCCATTTTCGAACAATGAGGAACGTATCACGCTCATAGGATTTTGAGATGGTGGAGAAAACTTGTAGCTCAGGTGGATGATTGTGATGGTGTTTTGTTCTCTGAGCTCAGTAAAATCGGAAAACCATATCGTAAATCGTTAATTTGCAAAATATCAGTTCATCATATCGAACTGGACTGTTCCTGTTGCAAAACATCAATCCATTGTCACTACTATTCATGCGTTTCATACAAATTCCATTGTTTTCTAACTCTTCCTCCTTTCTGTTGATCTTCCCCCCATCTTCTACTGTCAGACATTACGTTGACACTCACGTCATATATTACTTATAAGTAGCTCACACCACACCTGTACTACTATGAAATTTGAATTGATAACTGCATCTCCTCCGTGTGTCCCCTAATGTGATATGGCAACTTGAACTGATATACGCACGTATGGACGTTATAGTTGACTGACTGACTGATTGACTGATGATGTAATCATTAATTAACAATGTTTATACTATTTTCAAACAGAATATCATTATGAAGTTATGAAAATAAGTGTTTTATGTTGATATCATGAATCGATCAATGTCAGACCACCATTAAAAACCTGGAAGCACTGGACGGCTGTTTTTTCCTAGTATGGGACTCAGCAGCAGTGTCCATCAACGACTCGTGAACTTCTCAGGATTCGAACCCAAGACCTCCGGTCTTCCGCGCGAATGCCTAACGCTGGTATCTACCGCTGTTATAATGTCTAACTTCGATCAATTCACGGTCTTGCGCAACCTCATACACTGTCTTCCGAAGTTACTATCTACTCCTGAACAGGGTTGAACTTCACTGGTCTCGACTTTCCACTAGAACTCGGAGAAGATCCCTCACAGAGCTAGTCAGTAGTGAGTACAGGTAATTGTATTACGGGTTTGTGAAGGTTGTCAAGGTACACATTTGAAATCATGAATCGATCAGTGTTAGACCACCATTAAAAACCTGGAAGCACTGAAAGACGGCCATTTCGTCCTGGTATGGGGCTTATCAGCAGTGCGCATTCACGACTTCTGCACCTTCA